TTTTTATTTTGAGCTAAGACATAAAAAGGGTTGTTATAATCGAGTTGCCGATGCATTGTCTCGCCAACCCGAGTACAGGACTGGCCTTGTGAATTCCTACGACCTTCAAAAGAAACTGAAGGAGGAGATCGTAGAACACATTGCCAGGGACCCGGACCTTAGTCCCATTCTTGAGCAGTTGCACGCTGACCCCAACAGTCAGCCTGATTTTCACGAATATGGAGGACTAGTTTTCCGACGTTATGGAAATTACAACCATTTGTGTGTGCCCAGCCATGAGCCTCTCCGCATGCACTTCTTGGATTTGGCTCATGGCCAAAGTGGACACTTGAGCATGGTAAAGACGTACGGAAATCTATTGAGACAGTTTGATTGGCCTGGTATGAAGGGATTTGCTGAAAAGTTTGTGGCTGAGTGTCAAGGATGTCCACGAATCAAACCATGTAGACAAATGTCCGTGTAGCTACTTACACCCCTTCCCATTCCCGATGGACCCGGGGAGTCTGTCTCTATCGACTTCACCGACATGGGAAAGGTAAGTAAGAATGGTTATTCGCAAGTAATCGTGATTGTTGACTGCTTTTCTAAAAAATTCCTTAATCTAATTCCTTTGCCATCTCATCCCCCAACTGAATTGGTGATCCGTGAGTTCAAACAGAAGTACATTTTGCAGTTCGGAACGCCGAAAACTCTTGTGAATAATGAGGACCCGCGCTTCGTAAGTACCGAATGGAAGGACCTCACGTGCCAACTCCCTGGCCTCAAACTATTCATGACATCTGGCTGACATCCCGAAGCCAACGGTTTGGCTGAGGAGATCAACCAGACTGTGTTCCAACTTCTCCGCGCTTTAATCCTTCCGGATCAGGAAACATGGGATGAAGAATTGTATTCAGTCAAGGGGTTGTACAACAACTCCATCCATTCTTCCACCGGCATGACGCCGAACAGGCTGCATTTCGGTTGGCAGATTCGTAATCCTCTCTCCTACTTATTCCTGAACAGCCAGCTGGTCTAACGTCAGGCAGGCCTGGTTTCAGTGCCAAGTACGATCGCTTGCTCAAAGTTGCCATCGCAGCAATGACCAAGCGACAACATGCAATGATCCATCATGCAAACAAGAAGCGCAAACCTTCAGATATTGAAGTGGCTAGTTGCGTCTAGGTCAAGATGTCTGAATTCTCAAAAGACGAGGGAGTGTCACACAAACTTCTCCCGCTCTATTACGGTCCGTGGGAAGTTCTGGATGTGATTGGCAAGGATGAGTGCGGCCCTTCATACACAGTTGTTAAGCCGCCTCATCTGCGCACATACCCCGTCTTTCATGCATCAAAACTATGTATACACCGTGATGCTGAGTCCAACTACCGTGAAGACGTGATTCCTCGTGCGATCAATGGCGGTCATGAGATAGATGGAATCAAACAGCACGTAGGGAAGGGATGTAACAGACAATATCAGGTTCACTTTATGTATCACCCGTTGGACGATCTATATTGGATTTCCAAAAAGGAACTGCTGCGCAGCGCAACTCGCGTTGTTAAAGCCTATGAAGGACAAATCGCCTCTGATGTTGTACCTAAAATCTCTGCAAAGCTCACTGCGACAGAGAACTTCCCAAATCTCTTTGCTTTGTTTGCTTACGACGCGTTTGTCGAGGACTCAGATCGAGTTACTCGCTCGAAGCGACCTCGCTCTTAAGGGGGGGGTAGTGCGATGTCCTGACCAAACACGGACTGAGACACACAGCTGATTTCTGAGTTTTGCCCACGGACTGAATGCCTTACTGAGTTTCCCGCTCGCGACTAAGTTCTCTAAGTCTGTGTGTGTGCACGCTTGCTGGTCTGCATGTCTGTCTGAGTGCTTGATGGCTTGAGTGTGTGTGTGAATGCAAGGGCACTTGTGCCTTCATTGGGCCCTCAAGGACGGTACTTACTTGTGGCTGTGACATTGAGGATTGCAGCGGGGGAAAACACTCAAGTGGCGGGAGAAGAGGCCCGCAACACTTGAAGCAGAGGGGAAACACTCAAGTAGCAGGTACGCCGGTACCACACTCTGAAGAGGTAGACGTGCCGGGTACTCAAGGCAGAGCAGAAGAACACAAAAGTGGCATTTTTTGAGGCCAGTAGTTGTAGGCTAGGTCTAGGCGGGTACCAGTCCAACCAGTCTGAGTCTAGGGCCTGAACGGGCAATATCAGAGTCTGCAATGATGTTTCCCTCCGGAAGGCAGGAGGTACCGGTTGCTTGGAAGGCCGAGTGGCCTGCAAGTCACCGCCCAAGAGGCAAGCAGGCCACTACATCTCCAGGCCAGGCGAAGAGCCCAGCCTCAGTGTCGGTGAGCAAGTTTGGCGACACTGGTTGGAGCGCTGCTGGGGAAGGAGCAAGGACACGGAGGAGGAAGAAGGACAGGGCTAGGGAGGAGCGCCAGAGGTACTTACCTGGCTACGGTGGCAGCCATCTTCATCACCTTGGTGGGCGGTGCACCAGGAAGGCCCCAGCTGGGGTTGAGCCACACCAAGAAGCTTCRAGGCAGAGTSAGGCATGGCGGCCTGAGCYAGAGCAGCCATWGCTGCTTTGGGTTGTCCTTTGRGCATCTGGGCAAGGCCTAGTAGTCCGCCATAGCCTCGGCCTATGAGAGTGAAGAGTGAGGGAGGCGGCCATGGCTATGGTGGACCTCAAGTGATACCTGCAGTAGAAGAGGGATCCGGACATTGATTCGGGTTCAGCCATTCAACATTCTATTATTATTTCTTCTGTGAATAAGAGAGGAGGAGAGGACTGGCGAAGAGGAAGAGCTTTATCACTTGTCTATGCTGGTGTACATCATCTTCTTCTTTCTTTCTTCTTCTTCTTCTTCTTCTTACCCTCTCACTCCTCTCAAGTTCATTCATTTCTTTTGCAATTGGATGGCATTGTACTATCTGATGAATGTGTACTTCGAAATTAGCCAGGATCATAACACACGAGTCTAAACCCTAAACTTACACTTATCTGAGTCAAGTTAACGATTTGCTCACGCAGGAACCAAGGCATCAGGGGTGGGCCTACTTTTCCTGTTGAGCTCGAGCATGGGAGCATCACTGTCAGGACCTTCCCAAGGTAAAAGAACGCCAGAATCGCTTCCTCTCCCCCGCCTCTGCGCCCGGCCCCCCCCCAACCTTACCCCAGCCCTTTATGTCGGGGTTTCCTGTGGCCATGCCCAAACCGGGCTGGAAATAATTGATTCCTGGGTATTAATAACATGGTTGGGATTCTTGGGAAAAACAATGCGTTGATTTGCCGGAGGGAGCAGGGTATTAATCAGAATTGATTAATTTCAATTCTACTTTTGGTTTTCAGTGCTTCTGCTGTGTATTCTCTCACCTGGTGTGGTGTGATTTGCTCTCTCCAAGATCTCTTGTCATTGCACACGTGTATCGGAACATGCGGATGCCATCCTGTATCTCGTCTCAATCAGGCACATTTCTTGTTTTCCAATCATTTGCATACTTGAACACAAACTAATATTACGTAATTCATGTTGTTTCAAGAACTCTGACACCAGAGCTTCTTGATAACTCATGAGTTGTTCTGATTCCGAAACAACAGATTTTCTTTTGCTTCAAACGTGACCTTGAAGTTTCGCCAAAAGTTTTTTGACTAAATAAACCTTTATTAAAAAGAAACCCACAAAACTACACGCTAGTGGAATTTCTTCGTTATGAAGGCAGTTTTGTTTTGAATTTAGCACACTGAATAGTAAAATGCCAAATCAAATGATTTCACACATTCTGATTCACTGAATGTTAAAATGCCAAATCGAACGATTTCACACGTTCTGATTTTTCTTTCTTCTTTGACCAGTTTTCCTCGTGGAAGTCCACAGGGGAAACTGGTCACTTGATCCAGTGAGACCCCGCCAAATAGGTGCACCCATAGGCGGTCGTATCGAATTGAAGTATTCTCGAATCTATACCGCGTGTGTGTGCACCAGGCCGGGCATGACAGACCCGTTGCCTTTTTGGCCTACACAGAGGCAAGGGCATTCACGCAAATGCATGCTGGCGGCAATAGCCACAAACCTTGAGAACTCTGTGAGCATCACTTCAAGTTGCAAATAAGTTGCAATTGTGCTCATGCCATGTGAATCTTTGCTGATTTCGTGTGGATCTTGCGGGTGATGCATGCATGAAGTTTGAAGCAATAAAGGTGAGAAAGCAGGATCCTTGTCAGCATCTGCCTTTCCCGATGTTCCGCACATTTGCATCTGCATGATGCTTCCTCCTTCGGAGTTCCCGGACCTCTTCCCTCCCCACCAGTAGTCGATAATGGATCTGCAGTGGTATGGCGGCAGCAGCAGCTGAGAGGAACCAAGGAGTCAGAGCACAGCCAGCGATGCCTCGGTTTATCTGGCGGCCATGGATGGCTGAGGAGGATGCCCAGCTGTCAGGATGTTATGATCTGTGTAGGAGGGGGTGGCCAGAAGCCGAAACCGGGTAATGGCCCCGGGGAAAGAATGGACAGATTGTGCAATGGGATGCTGGACCCGGTTTCCAGCAGGTGCTGCTCCCCACCAGTAGAGCGTAGCATCTACGGGCAGGGCCACTAGAGAGAGATGCTCTTATCACTCCCACTAGCAGACCACCAAAAAAAAAAAAAAACTTCTTTTAATTTCAAAATTCTTTAAATTTTCTTTCCCTCTACTGCACCGCCCCCCCCTGCCCCCCGCCAACCCAATCCTTTGCACAGATCTCATTGTGTGTTCCTGGATTCTCTTGCTGGTAACCTAATGAAAAAGGACAATCACTGGCCGAACTTCCTTGCTGATAAGAATAAATGAGAATGGCACAACAAATGACAATGAATATGAGTGTCCTCCAGGACATCAGTTAAAATTGGAACAATACAGAGAAGATCAGCATGGCCCCTGAGCAAGGATGACACACATAAATCGAGAAAAGCAATGAATATGAGTGAATCTCTTCGGGCACTTGAGTTCGAGCCACAGTAGGGATCCGTACCAGCTTTCCTGAACCATTGTACTGCTGTCACTTCGTCCTTAACAACGCCCTCTCCAAGAAAGTAGAGGCGTCCTGGCAAGCAAATAGTATACAGATTCTGTCAGGCTTTGCATCACTTGACAGGCATGACAGTGTTGCTTCCATCTTCCCTTCTCCTTCCTGACAGACTAAGTTGTGCATGCAAGTGTTGCTTTGGGTCGCTTTTCACCGACCAAGAAAAATGACAGACCTGAAAGTTAGTACACGCCAGAGTTCCTGAAGAGTCCCAAGATTGCAAAATGATGTATGCAGGCTTCTGCATTCCCTGAACAGAAAATCAAACTTGGGAGGCATTCCTTCATTCACATGGTCACCTAAGGACAACTCCTTTTTACAGTTTTATCTCCTATTTTTCCATTGTGGGCCAAAAGTACGGATCTATAGATGTGGAGCCAGGAACCACTTTTGCAATGCTTGCTCTTAGAGGAAATGGATATGGTAATAAAGATTGCCAGGATCATGTTTCTTAGCACTATCACAGTGCCTGTGGGGCTATAGCCCTAAAGGTCAGCTCTCGTCCAAGAGTCTAGCGATCAATCAGTCAGTCTGCAGGATCTTAGTCAGCCAAAATGAAGGGTTAAGAGTCTTTTCAGGCCCAGACCTCCCAAGCTGACCAGGCGCATAAGAGAAAGTCGAGAGTCAAAAGATTCTCCCAGGCAGATCTGGGCCATTCAACGCTGACCAGAGTCGAAGCAAACTTTTCCCTGAGATGCATCCAGGCCCCGCTGCAGCCAGCCTTGCCTCACATGCATTTTGCAGTATCAATCTGGGCCTTCAATGCACTGCATGTCATCCGTCTGCTTGGTCAAGGCCCTGACTAGTCAGAGTGTAACCTCAGCACTTATACTGCATTGACTTGTTCATTTCTTCCCATGCTGGTACCAATAGTTAAGCATTGAGCACTGCCTTGTCCAGCACTGCCTTTGCAAGTGAACATCGGGAGGATGAGGCTCCATAGCCACAGATAGGAGTTAAGAAGGAGGCAGGTGCCATAGCTAGTACCGGGTAGGGTTAAGCAAGAAGAGGTCATGAGGGAGATCTGGTATGGAGCAGGTCTCATGCTTGTCGGGGGTGGCTAACCCACACGTGCCCATGGAGGCACCAACAGGCATGGTTGTTTTTGTTTCAGAGTGGTTGGCCATGGGTGTGTGTGTGTGCGCGCAAAACGCATGTGCATGTCAACAAAATGAGTGGTGCGTGTGCATATGTACCTGGGTAGTTGGAAGGAGAAAGTGTGGCAGTGTGTGTGGTGCATAGGTGTCGGACAGTGTCTAAGGAGCATGTGATTGTACCATAGTACCTTGCCATGTGCTCTCAGGTTTGTGTATTTGTGAGATGAGACGGGGGGGGGGGGGGGGGGGGGGGGGGGGGGGGGGGGGAGGCCGCAGAAGAGGCAGGGAGGAGAGAGATGGTTCTAGACTGGAGGGGGGCGTTGGATTGCATGTGAAGAGATGACAATTTTCTGGGGGATGGAATTGCATGAGACCAAGATAGGAGGGCTTGGCCTTCGTGCGAGCAGGGCTGACTGCCGTTAAGGTAAAGAGGAGGCGGAAAATGGAAATGTGAGGATTTGACCCCTCGGCAGTGCTGGGAAAGGCCTTGCCCGCCCTACGTGAAGGTGGGCCTGCCAATATGTGCCAAGGCCTGGGTACAGGCCAGTGTGATCACCCTAAAGGGGCCGTATATGTGCGGGGAATGAGCCCTCGCGGAGCCCTTAACAGACATGCACATGTTCTGGACAGAGGCCCTCAGCAAGCCCTGTGCCTGCCCTAAGTGAAGGCGGGCCTGAATATTCACAAGAGGCCAATATTTGACATTTTTTCATATGTGGGTATCAGACAGTTGCAGCATGCCAGTTGGTTACAGAGCAACGTGAGCCTCTCCAGGCTCTTTCCGGAAGTTGCAGCCTTGACGGGCAGTTGAGCCCAGGGCCCCGCACAGTTAAGACCCTGGGCTTGTGCTTTCTGAGGCCGACACATCATACAACAACCATGGACCAATGAGATTGCAGCATTGTCCGCACAAAGTGGCCGTGAGCCAATGGGATCACAGTAAACATGTGGAGGCCCATGGACTGCCTGGAAGTGCCCAACTGTAAAGAGCCCAGGCCCGTAACTGCAACTGGGCCTGGACCCAGGCATTGCAGCCTGACTGGAAGCTACTGGATGCTCGCCCAGCCAGGCCCAGAGGCAGCAAAGGCTGAGCTCACTTTCCATATAGGAAAGTGAGCATCGCTGGGCAGCTCATTCTGGTCTAGGCACGCAATGCGGCCACGCTGCTGCGTTGCAACTTCGTGTTTTGCACGAAGCTGCCGGCTGGGTCGCGCGCACGGGTGCTGGGGTGTGAGGTGCGCTGCTGGGGAGTGGGCGCATGGCATAGCCGGGCTGCTGGGCGCAGGTCTGGATGGCGATGGTGGTCTTTGGATGTTGAGGATGCACACTGTGGGAAATCAGGGGTGATGAGGAGAGACGAGATACATACCTGGTGCATGAGGAAGGTCACCTATGGTGTTGACGTCATGTACATTGATCTTCAAGGTCGAAGTGAGCCTGTTTCGTGAACACTGGTGTAGTAGGATAGGCAAGTAGTGTAGGCTGGGCGCTGGGTGCCAGACAGAGTAGGAGCGACATTGGATACGGTGTTGGTGTGGCCTGAGGGCTTTGACATTGGCTCGTGAGTTCATTGTATTGCTCTTATCTGGATGGAATCTCGATGCATTTGCGCTCTCTGCTTGTACATGAGTACTTGGACATCTGTGTGATTTTGCAAATTGGTTTTCTGTATATCGCTCTTGCTCATATTCCTTGCAGAAAAGATGGGCGCTTACCTTTGAAAAGGCGGGTCTGTCAAACTTCTGCAAGGGAGCCAAGCCCCGTCTGTTTTCTTTTGGGGCCTGGCAATCGGTCAGTTGTTCTTCATTGTTCTAGGCCCGTGAGCTTGTGTTCGGGAGAAAAGGAAAGGAGAGGATTTGACTTGTAAAGAAGGGGAAAGACGGGTTAGTTTCCTTTTATTTTTTCCAGGAGATTCAACAGCCCACCTGGCAGGGGGGAAGGCATCAGTTGAAGCACAAGTGGAATCGTCATGAAGGTAGTAAAGGCACGTAGCACAGAGAGGAGACCAGGTCAGGTCTGACATGGAAAGCACAAAGCAGAAGGCCCCTGCAGACGGAGAACCGAGGGGGGGACAGTCGGACCACTGGAGAGGAGAGGACCAGTAAACCACCAGACATTCGAGCCTCTTCTTGCGGAGGTGGATTCCCCCTGTGCACCATGCCATTTTGGTCCAGTAGCCCTGAGCCTCTGAACTTTTCGGAATGTGCAGATTTTGATTCTCAAGCTTCTCTGGGCCATATACTGGTGGTTTGAGGCAGGGAGGTCCAGGCTGGGAGGAGGGACCTAGTGGCAGAGCTACATGGGCGCTTCTGAGAACTGTGTTAGCGAACATCCGGGCATTTCTTTGGCCCGCACGCGTTTGGATCTTGGGAGCAGAGGAAGAGCGTGTGCGCCGAGAGGAAAGGAAGTCGGGTGAAGCGCAAAGAAACGGATCAGATGGTGGAAGGGGGGTATCATACAGCACTGAGAAGAAAGGAGGGAACGAAGATCTGCAGACAGGCAGCGGCCACTGGGCTGCAGTCAAAAGGTCTTAGTGAATGGGAGAGGACGGATCAAGGGAGAGGGAGAAAACGAAAGGTGGAGAGAGAGGTGGGGGGAGATCAGACGGAAGGGGAAGAGCAGAGCCAGTCGAGAGATTCCAGGGGCAGATTCCGAAGTGAGGTTGTGGTCCAGGTCGAAGGTGGGCAGTGAAGGGGAAACAGGAGAAGGAACGAAGTTTGATCGCCCAGGGAGAGCTTGAGCATGTAGGGGGAGTGCACAAAAGAGTGCTCGAGGGGAGCAATCAATGGCACAGAGGCACTGAAGACAGGGACAGGCGTTTGGAGCGGGCACTAGCGTTGGAGAGGTGCTGCGCTGGATGTGCTCTCGAAGAAGGAGGGCATGTACGTGCACACCGTGGGGGAAGGGAGCATGGGAAAGGGATCCTGGCTCTCACGTAGGGAAAAAGCCTGAGGACATTTCCAGGGATGGGGAGCAAACAGGGAGTGAGGGCGCCTCGCACGTGGAAGGAGCAGATGAGAGCACACGGAGCCCTCTGTAGAAGTGCTCGTGGTTCTTAAATAGGGCGCTCGTGTTCACGGGAGCACGGGAGTGCACGGTGGACTCGAGGGATGAGCCGCCTTGCTGCTCTGGCGGAAACTGACGAAGTGATGGGTGTTTTCTCATGAGGTGGCACGGCTCGACAGAGAGAGGGAGAGCGCCATTGCACGTTCGAAGGGGGAGGACCCTATTTGCTAAGAGTGCCGGAAAACAAGCTGCAGCAAGGGGAGCTTTGGAGACCAGGCGCACTCGAAACAGCTGAACACTTCTTTTTGAAGAACATGCTTCTGTAGGAGGTGCAAGGGGGATTGTTCATCATGAGGAGAGGATTAGGTTCAGCCCAATGGAGAACAGATGCCATCTTCGTCATACAATGGTCTTGGATCTGCTCAGCTCAGTCGAGGTTAGTGCTCATTCCATCCACCAGTGTGTGCCAGGGTTCGGGGGAGGGCTACGTCATACTCGGGCGCTTCGGTGTAAAGGCTGATCTCATTGCGCTCGAAACACAAGCTGCTGTATCTGACATTCAGCTCAGCGACTAATCAGAGCTGCGTCGTTCATTGGTCGGTTCGACCAAGGTGAGGACCACATTGTTTTTCTCTCGCACTTTGGAGCTGTTCTAGCTGTATGAGCTTGCACTTTGTGACATTTGTCATCCATGCCAGGGTTCTGGGGGCGGCTACATCACACTCAGGCGCTTCGGTGTAAGGGTCGATCTCATTGCGCTTGAAACACAAGCTGCTGTATCTGACATTCAGCCCGGCAACTAATCAGAGTTGCGTGGTTCATTGGTCGGTTCGAACAAGGTGAGGACCACATTGTTCTTCTCTGGCAATTTAGAGCTGTTCTAGCTGTTAGAGCTCCCACTTTGTGACATTCGTCATCCACAGGTCAGCTCAAAAGCAATCGGAGCAACATTGTCCAGAGCTTCTCTGTTTGTTAGATCTCACACTTGTGACATTTGTCAACAGGTGATAAGCTTAAAAAAAAAGAATCGGAGTAACATTGTCCATTCTCGTAGTTCATAAGCTGTTCTGTCTGTTTGAGCTCACACTTTGTGATATTTGTCGTCGGGTGACTAGTCCAACTAAAATCTCAGTAACTTTGTCCTATTTTGCAGTTAGGAGCTCCAGGGCTATTCTTGTTTCGAAAGTGGGCCGTAGCTAGAGCTTCTGTCGAAAGTGCGACTGCGTCCTGGATTGTCCTGTTGTAAGTCGGCAGTTGTCCTTTCAGTGCAGTTGTTTGACCAAGCCGAGACAGCAGCGACCTGCTTGGGGTGAGGTGCGACCTCGGCACCTTAGGCGCCAACCTCTGCTACTATTTCTTTTTGAGTCTCTTTCTGTCTGAAGCTTCTCTCCAAGGCCTTCCTTTAGTCTGGTCCTGGGATCCAAATTACTCTCGAGCAAAGTGCAAGGAACCTGACTGTTCACAGCTTGCTCGAGAGCATCAAACCGCATGCATACATGTCATCACACGTACAAAGTGGTCTCACACAAAACCAGATTGAGATGAGATAAGCACCAAGTAGCGCAGCTTATATTATCAATGTCACTTAATACAAAGAGTATCATGAGTTCCAGAGTTCAGCGCCAACAAAAGGTAGGTCCCCCTCGTCATACAACAGCATGGGACCTGGCTCAGCCAATGCCCTTCCTCAGATCACAGGTGTGGCGCCAACAGGTAAGTGTTCACCATATCCAGACTCACTCCCTGCTTTTCTCTCTCTTGCTCTCTCTCTCAATAACTCTGTCTTGGTTCTCTTCCCTACACTATGCATGCACACTCTCATCTACGAAGATCTACTCTGAATGTCACTCACTGATACACCACTACTGACTAACCCTGCTACTACTAACATAGGCTGGCGCAGCTATGGCTTCCCTGCAGCCAGCGCCCAGCCTCCCCTTCTTCCTAGCGCCTCTTCATCCAGCGCCTCTCCCAGCACTATAGCGCACAAGTGCCTCAACACTTCCACGCATCAATGCCTATGGGAATCTGCCTGTGGGGGAGGCTGCCTCGTTTCTTATAGTGCTGGCCTCCCCTGGCGAGGTCTGAATTTTGCCTGTCCTGGTCCTTTCCCAATCCCAACCTCTGTGTATGTGTCCCAAATCCCTTTCCTTCAGGGGTTGCTGCTGCTGCGGCCTTTAGGCCTTGATTTTGGACTCCCAATCTGAATCTAGACTTTCCTTCTGATTCGAATACGGACTGGAACTTAACTCTTTGACTTCTGCTGGACAGACACACCCAATGCACGAACAGACACTCTTTCTGCACGAACAGACACATTGACTGCACGTACAGACACATCCCTTGTTTGAATAGACATGACTTGCATTGTACCTGTCTCTTATACACATCTAGATGTGTATAAGAGACAGGAGCTACACCAAGAAGCTTCAAGGCAGAGTGAGGCAT